CCCTCCCGACGCCAAGCCGCCCCTCGACCCCTTCTCGGCGCCCTCCCGACGCCAAGCCGCCCCTCGACCCCTTCTCGGCGCCCTCCCGACGCCAAGCCTCCCCTCGACCCCTTCTCGGCGCCCTCCCGACGCCAAGCCGCTCCTCGACCCCTTCTCGGCGCCCTCCCGACGCCAAGCCGCCCCTCGACCCCTTCTCGGCGCCCTCCCGACGCCAAGCCTCCCCTCGACCCCTTCTCGGCGCCCTCCCGACGCCAAGCCGCTCCTCGACCCCTTCTCGGCGCCCTCCCGACGCCAAGCCGCCCCTCGACCCCTTCTCGGCGCCCTCCCGACGCCAAGCCTCCCCTCGACCCCTTCTCGGCGCCCTCCCGACGCCAAGCCGCTCCTCGACCCCTTCTCGGCGCCCTCCCGACGCCAAGCCGCTCCTCGACCCCTTCTCGGCGCCCTCCCGACGCCAAGCCGCTCCTCGACCCCTTCTCGGCGCCCTCCCCCGCCGAGGCCTCGGGGCGCCATGCCTTGCTTCCCGCCCAAGCGAGCGCAACGAGGCAGGCAGACCCCCCGACTTTGGCGCTCTGCGTGCTCCGGGGAAACCGGGGCCAGAGGCGGGCCACGGCTCTGCTTGCTCTGACGCCCTTGAGTTTAGGCAGGTCCCGCTTCGTTTTACTAGCGGGAGAAGGGGCAGAGTCGGGGTGGCTCTGCCGGTGATTTGGCAACTTCTGACGTCCCCCTTCCCGTCCGGAGCGGCTGTTTCTCGTTGCGCTCTCGTTATGTGCCTGCCCGTTTGCCAGGAGGGACGGAGAGTCACGCTCGCAGTCAGGGCTCTGAGCGCCGAGTGGGTCAGACGCTCTCGTACGCTGAGAGGTGGACAAAAATAGAGGGGCCGGGAAGACAGTGAGGACACCGTGGCAGCTACACGCATCCACAGAGGCCCGCGTTCTCCCGTTTGCCGCTCATGGGGAGATTCTGAGGGCTTCAGGGATCAAACTCAAGCCACGTCAGAAGCCGCTGCTTTCCGTGAGCATTGCATAAAAGGACGCACTGGTCCACAGCAAGAGCAGACGTGGGGTCCTGGCAGCTTTGAATGGCTGGCTGGGAGGAGCCCACCGAGAGGAGCCAAAGGTCTGCCCGTGTGTGGCCACGTGAGTGCCCCTGGCCACCAACCTGCGCCTGTCCTGTCGGGGGTCAGCGCCGTCCTCATCCCTCCAGACGCGGGCCCAGCATATTTGACTGGGCGCAGGCACAGATGGGGGGCAGCGAGTTTCCCAGCATGAGATAAGCACTTTAGCAGAATTTCTAAGTATTTATTTTAAAATAGTTGCTCTGAGGTTTGTGAGTTGCTTCTAAATTGTAAAACGAAATGAAAAGACTTCCTGTTTTTCTCCGGGTCTCTAGAAGCAGCATGACATTTTGCTGGAATTATTGGTTTCTCTTGAGGGAACCTTGCTTTTAGAGTTTTTAATTAGAGGGTGATCGTTCTAAAGTATTTCTTGATCTGCATGCAGATGTACAATAATTAAAAATAACTCATTTCAGTTAGGAGGAAGCCAAGATGTTATCTGTTTATAAGAAGTTTGATAGTGTTCTGAACAGTAGAAGAAAGCTTTGATTCTTTTCATCATCAGATGACTTGAGTCCGTCATCATGACAGAAACCTTAAGATTATGCTGGCTATAAGGAACAACCACAGAGGGAAGAAAGTGGGTTAATGGTGGAATCTTTATTCTCATCTGCATTCGGGTCTTTGGAATTCAACTGAATGCATTTACAAGGTTTGCACCGTGCCTTCCTCTGGCTTCACTTGGAAAATTCCCTGAAATATAGTACCCTGGGCCATTGTGGGTACCTTTAAAGAGGGCAATTTTCCACCCAGAGGTAAACATGTTGGTGGTGAGCGGTCAGTTGTGTGGACGTGAGGCCCCGTGATTCAGAGGGGCCTGACTCCAGAGCACAGGATGGGAAGGGCGCCCGGGCGGCACCAGCCTGACAGACCC